GTGGGGCGCCCCAGCACCCAGATGTCCCTCCTCTGCTCAAGAGGCCCCGGGGGAACTTTCTCTGCAGCAGGAACAGGAGACGGTGACCCCTAAGCCACAGGGCAGCCCGGGGTCTCCCCAGACCACTGTCCACCCCTGACCAGTGACCCCGTGGCCAAGGGTTCCTCCGCCCCAGAGTCCCGGGCAGGGTGGCGGCTGGAGCAGCTTGTGGGCAGGCAGGACGGGGGGCCCGAGACAGGCCTCCAGCCCCCCAGCCCCCGCCGCACAGCCGCCTCTGCACCACGGAGCCCTCGCCGGATTATTCAATGTAACGTTTAATTACAGCCAGAGTCTGCCGAACACAAGGAAAGTCAGATGTGGAGCCGGCACCCCCCGCGGAGCCTCCTGGAAACCTCGAGGAGGCGGGGCTGCTCCATATGCCGCGGCGTGGGGGTGTGGTGCGTGTGCGTGTGCCCGTGTGTCTGGGGGCCTGTCTCCGTGTGTGAGTGTGTCTGAGTGGGCCATCTGTGTACAGCTGCCTGGTCCATGCTGTGTGTGTGTGTGTACATGCATAGCTCTGTTGTGTGTGTGTGTATATGTGTAGCTCTGTTGTCTCTGTGTGTGTGTACATGCATAGCTCTGTTGTCTCTCTCTGTGCATGTACATGTATAGCTCTGCTGTATGTGTGTGTATATGTGTAGCTCTGTTGTCTCTGTGTGTGTACATGTAAAGCTCTGTTGTCTGTGTGTATGTGTACATATATAGCTCTGTTATCGTCTGTGTGTGTGTACATGTATAGCTCTGTTGTTTGTGTGTGTGTACATATATAGCTCTGTTGTCTGTGTGTGTACATGAATAGTTCTGTTGTCTGTGTGTGTACATGTATAGCTCTGTTGTCTGTGTGTGTACATATATAGCTCTGTTGTCTGTGTGTGTGTACATGTATAGCTCTGTTGTTTGTGTGTGTGTACATATATAGCTCTGTTGTGTGTGTACATATATAGCTCTGTTGTCTGTGTGTGTACATATATAGCTCTGTTGTCTGTGTGTGTACATGTATAGCTCTGTTGTCTGTGTGTGTACATGTATAGCTCTGTTGTCTGTCTGTGTGTCTCTGTGTGTGTACATGTGTCGGTCTGTTGTCTGTATGTGTACATGTGTAGCTCTGTGTGTGTGTACATATATAGCTCTGTTGTCTGTGTGTGTGTGTGTGTCTCATGCTCTGTTGTCTGTGTGTGTACATGAATAGTTCTGTTGTCTGTGTGTGTACATGTATAGCTCTGTTGTCTGTGTGTGTACATATATAGCTCTGTTGTCTGTGTGTGTGTACATGTATAGCTCTGTTGTCTCTGTAAGTGTGTGTGTGTATGTGTGTGTGTGTGTGTGTGTGTCACTGGCTGTGCCCAGGCTGTGTGTGCCTTTGGGTGCCTGCCTGTCCCTGTCATGGCTGCTCACAGCCGTTCTGCCTCTGGTGTCCATACTGTTTCCCAGGCCCCCAGTAAGCCTGACTGCCTACACCCCTCCTGTGACGTCGCGTTGCTGGACCACAGCTCCAGCACACAGCCCTCGGCCCCAGCGCCGGCTCCCAGCCTCTCTGAAGGGCGCCCGGCGCTGGGCGATGGTTACCTGCTGGAGCCCCTCTCTGGGCCTCCTGAGAATTCCCAGGCCCTGGTCCCAATCCCCAGGCCCTGGTCCCGGGAGCCAGGCCGCTCCTCCCAGTGACCTTGACCCAGGCGCGACGGCCTCTCAGACTCCATGGCGCCTCCCTCAGCATCCCTTCCCAAGGTCGCAGGGAGAGAGGGCGGGATGCCAGGGCCTTTGCAAGGACCTGTTTCCAGTTCTTTCTGGGTTTGGGGCGGGCAGGGCCGGTGATGGGGCTTGGCGCTAAGCTAAGCTCCGAGCGGCCAGGGCAGGTGTAAATTATGCATAGCTATTTCTGGAAACTTCTCAGATTTCTCCAGAGAGAGAAATTAATTTGCCTGTTTGGGCAAATAACACCCATTTTTTTTTCCTGCTTAAGGTCATTTTGTTAAAATAAAATTGATTAACGTTCTCCTTAAAGTTTAAGTAGAAACTGCTCAAACATATTTTTATGCACAGAAGCTCGGTTTGCGCGCGCCCTTCAGTAATTAATACCCGCAAATACGTTAGCACCCCGAGCTCCGTGCACAGCGGGCGCCGGTGGGCGGGTGTTTCTTACAAGTACTTAAACATTTCCTGGGTCCATCCTTGAGTAATTTAGTAGTTGCAAGAGAATGTGCTAGTTTTCTTAGAAGTATATACAAGAAACGTCCGTATTTCTGCTGTTTTATTCAAAG